CTAAGGGGTAGGGAATAGCTCTTCCCTCTAGGTGGAGTGGGCCTCAGGAACCCAAACTCCCTCCAGCCCTCTGACTAAGAGGTGAATAGAGTTAATGGAATGCACTGGGGAGAGCCTTGGAGTGGAGAAGGGCCCAGAAGCACTCGTCCCTAGTGCTCAGAAATGGCCACACTCACAGATCCATTCACACATGCCAAATGTATAAAGCCAGAAAGCCATTTATCATGAGAGCTTGGCAGCTGCCCATGTTCCTGGAAGAATATGCTTTTCTAGTAACCTAAATGCTTCTGGCTTTAGATTCTGGATCTGTCCCCTGGCCAGAGCTGGGGGCCAAACACTGGCAAGGTGTGATTCTCCAAATCTGGTTTTCTATGTAGGCCTCTGTATTACTTGGGCTGCCGTTTGAAAATGATGTGCACTTTTGGCTCCTATTTCTTCTGAGCTGGTGTCATCCTCAGGCCACCTGGTGGCGAGATTGTCACCAGCAGCTTCAGGCCTCCATCCCACCAGCTCAGCAGTTCCCACAGAAAGTGTTTTCTTTCCCAGTAGTTCCCACAGACATCTCAGATGAGTCCTAGTGAACTCACTTGAGTAATAGGGACCAGTCACTGTGATCAAGGAGAAGGAATTTCCAGAATGGCCAAGTCTGGTTCCTGGGCCCCTCCCAAACCACGCCAAGTCAGACTGAGGTCCTGTCACCCAAAGCAGGGGAAAAGGAGGGTGGGCAAATGAAAACAGACATTCACTGTAGCCACCCCCTTAAGTTATTACATTCTTTCTCTACATGTTTGGCAACCACTTCTTAAGCTTAGTTAGCTTTCCCCAGTAAAATAGCTTGCTTCACGCATAAACCTAGGCAATATCCTGCCCCCTTCTAGTCTATGTTGATTTATTGTTTTTGGTTTATTTTTTTAATATGGTAACTTTGTATCCTTTATTTAAGCTCGTGAAGGGCATATCACATTCATTCCCTTTACTTCCTTTTATCCAAAATTTCTTCCCAAACACTCTAAAACAACACCCCTATCAGGGCTAAGGGAATAAGGGTATGAGTTGCACACACATTAGTAGGTGGATGAATAATCCTAAATCCATGTTTGCTTTCCTAACATGTAGCTGGGATCATTGAAATGCTTGTTGAGGTCAGGGGATTTCTTTGGGTCAAGCTATGAGTTGGCAGAAGCATTAAGTTGTTTGACTCCTTGCTTCCACCACAAGCTCCTGACGAGTATATATGTATGATCATGAATTAGAGCAGTCACCAGTAGACCAAGAATCTAACAAATTAGGAATCTGCAACTCCTATTTGCTTCCCTTTCCCTGAGCTCAGATTTGGGAGCTGTAAGGCCAACTCATTGGTGTGACTATATCTCTCTTTGCAGAAAAAGTGGCGTGTGTGGTGCCTTCTGAATGTGAAAAGCACTGTGGCACCAGAGCTAGTTGCAGCCCCATTGCCTACCCAGTGCTGGTGGTAGAGCTGCTGCCCAGTGGTAAGAAATGGACCCTGCCATCTTAGGCCATTAAACCGCATGATCTGTGTCCCCATTGGAGCCTGTGCCTTCAGGCTGCAAGTGAGGGCAAATCTACCAGTCAGCCCATCCTTCTGGATAGAAATGTAGGCTGTCGAGTGGAAGACATTAGTTGAGTAGACGGAACCTTGCTTGTCTTGATGGAAGGAGCTGGGCCGCCTTCCTTTTCATTCCTCACACATTCACACTCATGGGGCACGTGCTGTCAGGGGCACAACTTGTGCTTGCAGTTTGCATTGTTCACGGCCCCGGCTTANCAAGATTTTGTAGTCCCATAAATAAATGCCTGTTCAATATGAGGCCCCCAAGGAGAAGATTTTGAAAGCCTCCTCAGAGTAAAGATTGCCTGTACTTACTTTTAAAAAGAAGACAGTTATACTGACAACAGACTTCTCAGTAGCAACAATGTAACTCAAAGGTAGAGGAGTAAAATTCTTAAAGTTCTAAGGAAAATGTCAAAACCAAGGGCAAAACAAAGACATTACTTTCCTTAAATAATACTAAAAGATGTGCATATAAAAAAAAGGAAGTGCTGAAAAGCAAGGTGTAGTTAGCAAAGATGGTGACAGGCACATGAGGAAATCTAAAGCATTGGCTTTTGGGGGTATTTTCTGGGTTTTAAAAATAATTTTTCGATTACAGCTAACATACAATATTTTATTAGTTTCAGACGTACAACATAGTGATTAGACATTTATATAACTTACCCCGATAAATCTAGTACCCATCTGATACCGTATGAGGTGTGATCAAAAGATACGGTGAATGTTTAAATTTAAAATAAGATTTATTACAGTAAAAGACACATTGCTATTAGTACCCCTCACTTTGAACACACTTATCCCATTGTTCTTACCACTTTCTGAAGCAGTTCTGGAAGTCCTCTTTTGTGAGTGTCTTTAGTTGCTTTATTGTGGCTGCCTCAATGTTTTGAATCGTTTTGACTTTGAAGAAGAGCCAGAAGTCGCACGGTGCCAGGTCTGGTGAATAAGGTAGATGAGGACACACTGTCATGTTTTTATTTGACAGAAATTGACATACCAGAAGTGATGTATGACACGGAGCATTGTCATGATGGAGGATGATTTATGGCACAATTTAAGACATACCTTCTCTCAACCATGGCTTACACCCGACTGCACCGAACAAGTTGAAACTTGTCACACACTGTTACTAAGGTTCGACATGCCACTTCCCATATTGAAGATCCCTGCCTTTCTGTTGGATGGCACTCGGGAGCAGCATTCACCGTATGTTTTGATCACAATGGAAAAGCTCCGTGTCACACATTGTTTCTGGCAAGGCAATTTCTGTCAAATAAAAACATTATGGTGTCTCCTCATCCACCTTATTCACTGGATCTAGCACCATGGGACTTCTGGCTCTTCTTCAAAGTCAAAATGACCATGAAAAGTAAACGTTTTGAATTGATTCAGGACATCGAGGCAGCCACGACAGCGCAACTAAAGACACTCACAAAAAAGGACTTCCAGAACTGCTTCAGAAAGCAGCAAGAGCGATGCGATGTGTTTAAAGAGAGGGGGAGTGTTTTGAGGGGGATTAATGGCAATGTCTTTTACTGTAATAAAAATTTTAAATTAAACATTCACCATATTTTGTGATCACCCCTTATCCATAGTTATTACAATATTATTGACTGTACTCCTTAAGCATTAGCTTTTGTGATTTGCATGAATTAGCATTGGCTCATTATTACATAATAATTACTAATATAGGAAGTAAAAGAGGACAAAACTAAAATGTTGGACCACAGTTTGGAGTTAAATCTGGCTATGGGCTTTAAATTGACAAAAAGGTGGGATATTGACTCTGTTTAGACTTGAAGTTGTATCCATGTTAAAAGTTTTGAGGGTAATCATTAAAAGTATAGAAGTAGAATATATAACCTAACTAGTAAAGAAAATGATTTAAGAAGAAATTTTAATTACCATCGCACTGTGAGCATTTTTTCACATTATTTAAATATTCTTCTAAAATGTAATTTTAGTGCATACTTAATACTACGTTGTTTTGAAGCACTGGACCGTGACTTTATGTTCTTTCTTAAGTGCTGCTGCACCTGCCAGCTGTACCATTCTGTTCGGCTTGAGTGCACACTGCCTCTTACAGCAAGAGCCCCATGAAATGGGTTGTGAAACACCTTCCAGGACATCTTTGCGTTTTAAAGGTCTATACTAATTCATTTCAATTTAGATGAATGAAATTGGTCCCAGTTCTGAAACACTGATTTGTTGCCAGGGACCCACCTTTTCTTTGATTGATGTCACAGGGCTCTCTTCCTTCTGCACAGCAGAGATGTTCTCTGTAGCCTCTAGGAGGAGCCTCTGGGACAGCTCGTAAGCACTGTGCTGCCGTGATTGGTGTGCAGTGCCAGCAATGAGACCACGGTCATGTGCGCCATCCCTGTCCCCTCCAGCAGCTGTGCAATTGAGCAAAACGTGCTCACTGGTCACAGGCATCTCCTCCGGCCCTGGATGCCATGGAGATACCTGGATGATTGGAGTGAGCAGCTTAGCCGAAACCCACCAGAGGACACATCTGGTTGCTGCAGCAGGTCATAATTGTCCTATCGCGGCCGAGGCAGTTTGGGCTTTATACTGCCCAGATAAGCCATTCTCTCACCCACCTGTATTTCCTTGGCAGATTTTTGTCCAGAGGTGCCTGGCAGGGAAGAACATGTCTCACGTGAAGGGCGGCTGTGTCCTTTGTGGGTACCTGAAGCTGCTGCCCATGTTCAGCATAGTGATGCCGGGAATGATCAGCCGCATCCTGTACCCGGGTAAATTCTTGATTCCGGTGTGTTCACCCCGATCAGTGGGGTTATCAGGTCTCCCGCAGTGTACTGGTGTCAAGGTGCCCTAGATTGCTGCCATCTATCTGGATTAGGGATACAGCTGAGCAGGGTCTGGCAGAGACCGTGGCGATAGGTGGCAAGAGAGAAATTCCAGAGAGAGAAGTTCAGACAGGGAAGAGCCGACCAATGCTCCCTGTGGCCGGGGCGCAGTCCCTGCCATGGCATGGAGGCACAGTCCACAGGAAGGATGAGACCGTTCCCTTGCAGCACAGGCAGCATCGTGCCAGGCATGCCTGTGTGCCAGGCACTGTGCTGGGGATCTGAAGGACGCTGTCCCTGCTCACACAGCCCCAGAGCTGGGCTAGTGTAGCTTCATTGA